ATCTTGGCCCCAAAGGACTCCAGTGGGTAGCAACATTGTACTCCACTACCTTAAGGACAGTACAGATCCCTGAAATATGGCATGAGGCAATGGTAATTGCCATTCCGAAGCCTGGAAAGCCCCCTGATGAAGCAGGAAGCTACAGGCCAAATTCTCTATTATGTACAACCTATAAACTTCTTGAACGTATCATCCTCAAAAGAATACACCCTTGTACTGTTGGCAGGCTTCCAGCCAAAACGTAGTTGTTGTGACCAGTTCTGGCACTCACACCTCACATTCAGGCTGGCTATCAAAAAAACCTAAAGACTGGCGCAGTATTTGTTGACCTGTCATCTGCGTATGATACTGTATGGATTAAGGGCCTGATGCTGAAAGTTGCTAAAATTATACCATGTTATGAAACACTTTGCCTGCTGTGGACCATGTGAGTAACAGACACCTGCGGGTGTACCTGGATAATAAGACCAGCTCACCCCGTATCATAAACAGCGGGCTAGCACAAGGCTCTGTATTTGCGCCAACCCCCTTTAATATTTACATAAGTGACATGCCTCCAACTAAATTACGAACATTTGGATATGCAGATGATCTTGCCATGACAATCCAAGCATCAAACCTCCATGACATTGAGAAAGCATTAACTGAGGACCTCCAAAATATGGAACAATACTTCTGGAAATGGAGGCTCAAACCAAACCTTGGAAAAACAATAGTAAGCACATTCCATCTTGATAATAAGAGTGCCAAAAACACTCTGAAAGTAGATTTCTGTGGTAAAAATGTGCAACACGATTACACTCCGACATATTTTGGAGTGAAACTCGACCGCACCCTCTCCTTCTATGATCATCTTGAGAAGGTAGCTGCAAAAATAAAAATGAGAGCCAACATAATCCAGAAACTAGTAGGTCCAACCTGGTGTGCATCAGCATCAGTGTTGCGAACATCTGCAATAGCACTTATATATTCAGTAGCTGAATATTGTGCACCGGTATGGAGCAGATGCAGCCACACATGACTTGTAATATGACTTGCAGCCACACATGACTTGACACAGTTAAATACAGTGATGCGGTGCATCACGGGAACCCTTCAGTCGATTCCAAAACCACGGCTACCTGTCCTGTCTAATGTCGCTCCCCTGCCGATACGCCGAACTGCTGCAACATTCTGCGAAGCTCAGCGAATCCAGGAAAACAGATGTCTTCCTATTCACCAAGAATTTGACAATGCCCCCCCTCCCCACAACATCTTAAATCCCTTAAGCCTTTCTGGGAATATTTGTTTAGCTTCATGCAATCAAGCTATGATCAGAAGGAGGCTTGGAAAGCAGATTGGGCTAAACAAGACTTAAAAAATAAGCACCTTGTGCCAGATCCCATGCAGAAGGTTTTTGGGTTTGACCTTCCACGGTCAGCTTGGTCAACTCTGAACTGAATTCAAACCAACCATAGTAGATCTGGATATCTAATGCACAAATGGAAAATCAAGGAATCCCTGGTGTGGGAGTGTGGTTCCCACCAATAGATCGTCGAACATATCACTACCTACTGCCCAACTTATAAGTATAAAGGAGGCATTACTGCAATAAATTCTGCTGTTCGTGATGTAGCCATTTGGCTCGATCATCTTCTGGTGAAATTATAGTTCCTGCTCTACACCAGCCATATGAAAGAAGAAGACGACGACCCTTGCTGGGATAACTTCTGTTTTTTTCTAACAACATGAGAATGACGTTGCACCCTCAATTAAGAGAACCTTTTCCCCCATGGGACTTGAACTTGGTCCTGTCTAAACTTATGGGCCATTTGAGCCTTTGGAAATGTGCTCTGTACAACACCTTTCATGGAATGTGGTTTTCCTAATTGCTATCACTTCTGCCAGAAGAGTCTCTGAACTGCATGCCCTCTCATCTGAACCACTATATACAGTCTTCTTTAAAGAGAAGGTATACTTATGCTCTCATCCAAGTGTTGTCTCTAAAGTAGTTTCAATTTTTCTTATCAGTCAACCAATTTACTTATCTGTATTTTACCCAAAACCACACACAAATAGGGATGAGCAAAGGCTACACATAGAATCATAGAATATCAGGGTTGGAAGGGACCTCAGGAGGTCATCTAGTCCAACCCCCTACTCAAAGCAGGACCGATCCCCAACTAAATCATCCCAGCCAGGGCTTTGTCAAGCCTGACCTTAAAAACTTCTAAGGAAGGAGATTCCACCACCTCCCTAGGTAACACATTCCAGTGTTTCACCACCCTCTTAGTGAAGAAGTTTTTCCTAATATCCAACCTAAATCTCCCCCACTGCAATTTGAGACCATTACTCTTTGTTCTGTCATCTGCTACCACTGAGAACAGTCTAGAGCCATCCTCTTTGGAACCCCCTTTCAGGTAGTTGAAAGCAGCTATCAAATCCCTCCTCATTCTCCTCTTCCGTAGACTAAACATCCCCAATTCCCTCAGCCTCTCCTCATAACTCATGTGTTCCAGTCCCCTAATAATTTTTGTTGCCCTCTGCTGGACTCTTTCCAATTTTACCACATCCTTCTTGTAGTGTGGGGCCCAAAACTGGACACAGTACTCTAGATGAGGCCTCACCGGTGTCAAATAGAGGTGGGACGATCACGTCCCTCGATCTGCTGGCAATGCCCCTACTTATACATCCCAAAATGCCGTTGGCCTTCTTGGCAACAAGGGCGCACTGTTGACTCATATCCAGTTTCTCGTCCACTGTAACCCCTAGGTCCTTTTCTGCAGAACTGCTGCCGAGCCATTCGGTCCCTAGTCTGTAGCAGTGTATTGGATTTTTACGTCCTAAGTGCAGGACTCTGGACTGGTCCTTGTTGAATCTCATCAGATTTCTTTTGGCCCAATCCTCCAATTTGTCTAGGTCCCTCTGTATCCTATCCCTACCCTCCAGCGTATCGACCTCTCCTCCCAGTTTAGTGTCATCTGCAAACTTGCTGAGAGTGCAATCCACACCATCCTCCAGATCATTTATGAAGATATTGAACAAAACCGGCCCCAGGACCGACCCTTGGGGCACTCCACTTGATACCGGCTGCCAACTAGACATGGAGCCATTGATCCATATTGGATATTAGATGAGCATTGGTGTTCTACATAGACAGGACCAAATTGTTTCAGTGGTCCACTCTTCGTGGTTATAGCAGACAGAATTAAAGGTCTTCCAATCTCCTCACAGATAATCTGATATTAGATAACTTCCTGTATCAGCTCTGGTTATGATCTGGCAGGTATTTTTCCACTAGACAAGTTGACAGCTCACTCCACAAGAGTGCAAGCATCCTCAGTAGCATTCCTAGTGCAGATCCCTATCCAGAACATTTGTAAAGTAGCAACCTGGTCATTGGTGCACACTTTCTGCTCTCATTATGCCATCACCCAGTACTCTAGAGATGATGCTATATTTGGTCATGCTGTACAACAGTCTGTGTGTACATGAACTGCGATCCCTCCACCTATATTAGTGCTTGGGAGTCACCAAGAGTGGAATGCACATGTACAATCACTCAAAGAAAAAAACCTGTTACTAACTTTTCATAACTGTTGTTCTTCGAGATGCGTTGCACATGTCCATTCCATGGCCCTTCCCCCACCCTCTCTACATGGGAGTTTCCAGAAAGAAGGAACTGAGGGAGCTTGGGGTCAGCTGGGCTCTTTATACTGGCACCAGTGGCACATGGCAGCAGAGGGTGCTCAAGCCGTCCTGCTGGTTACCACTGAGGGAAAAATTTCCAGTGACTGTGCATGGGGCACGCACACGTCAAGGGTGGAATGGACATGTGTAACACATCTTGAAGAACAACAGTTACAACAGGTTAGTAACCATTTTTCAGTCAAAGTTGCATTGCCTTTTACCCACCTCTTAATTCTAAATTATTCTCTTTTACTCTGTCGTACGTGACTCTTCACTCATATGGTTCTGTCCAGTGTTACAGAAACCTTTGTTTTGAGTCCAGACAGGTGTTCTTTGTTTTAAATGTGTCTGAATTTTGTTTTATTATGGTGCTATTTCTACATACTTTGAGATCTACTGATGAAAAGCACTAAATAAGAGCTGGGTGGTCTTGTTATAGTTGGTGAAACAACATATTTGCATGTATACAGTGGGACCCCCTTATAGTAAAAAATTGTCTTTTATAATCTCAAAAAAGCTGCACTGCAATTGCAGGAAGCTGTAGATGCTGTGTTTATGTGGGTCGGGAGGAGTATGGTTGTTGAAGGGCGCGAGCCTCTGCGGGTATGTCTGTATAGCATCTGGGAGTGAGCTGCCTAGCCTTGGTCCACAGATGCAGGGCTCGTGCTAGCACACTGTTGTTAGCTGTGTAGATGGTGCTTTGTTATTGCGACTTGGGCTGGAGCTTGGGCTCTGAAGCCTAGGATAGGGTGTCGGCTAAAAATAGCATGCTCGCGCGAGCTCAGCTACCACAGGTCTGTGGTCCTGGGCTGGGAGGCTTGCTCCCGGATGCTGTGTAAACATATCCTGGAAGACTATAGTTTCACTCCTGTCAGGGAGCTGCAGTAGCAATATCACCTCCTTTTCACTCCCACTGGGAACAGTTGCGGCAACAGCTAGAAGCAAAGGATCCTTCCTTACCCTTTCTCCACAACATAGGGGCAAATCTTCTTCTTCCTTGTTTATTCAGAGCAATGTAAGAGGGGAAATGATTGTTCCTTTGGAATGCAGCACTGAGCACCTGTCTGATAAGTGACAATTGCTGCATTCTTAGAGGATTAGCACTGGGAAAACCTTTTACAGTGAAGTTGCAATATAATTGAAGTGAATATGCAATAAAATGTAATGATGGAATTCGGGACTTTCACTCTACTATAATTTAATGTGTCTCTGTAACAATAGTTTTAAAATGGAAACAAAAACATGTGTTGAGGAGTATAGATATGTTGCTTGCAAGTACTCAGCATTTCAGAAAAGAAATTATTTCATAGTCCTTTTTTTCCTCCATCAAGGCTATTGTGGTGACTGATGGAGAACGTATTCTTGGCCTTGGAGACCTTGGCTGTTATGGAATGGGCATCCCAGTTGGCAAATTGGCCCTTTACACAGCATGTGGAGGAATGAAACCACAGGAATGTCTGCCTGTAATCCTGGATGTGGGAACTGATAATGAGGTAAATACTTTTCCTAGGTTCCATGAACATTTCACATATTTTAGGAGCAACAGGCTGAACTGTATAATTGTATTTATCTGTTCTATTAAAGGGTAAAGTTAGAATTTTGGGTGAGTATATTATTCCATTTTTGTCTTATTTTTCCCTCATGTGAGTACTTAATCTCCTTCTTACTTGTTGTATATAATTATTCTTTAATACAGTTTTATTAAATTTACCAATATATTTAATAGAGTCTGTATACTGATATCTTTCTACTGACAATTTAGTACATTGAAAAGGCCCAGATTACTTCCACGGGCAAAAAGTCTGGCACAGTACCATTGACTGTGGAGATTTCACAATGCACCTGAAACCTTCCCTTCACCAGAGGTCCTACAGGTGGCCAGCACAGCCCCAAAAGTGGATTGCACTGGCTTAGGTGGGCATTTGGTGCATGCCCAGTGCAGCCTTCCCTGCATGGCAATTATATAGCCCACAGTGAGACTAGGCCCGAGAAAGGGACACTTAGAATCATAGAATCATAGAATATCAGAGTTGGAAGGGACCTCAGGAGGTCATCTAGTCCAACCCCCTGCTCAAAGCAGGACCAATCCCCAATTTTTTCCCCAGATTCCTAAATGGCCCCCTCAAGGATTGAACTCACAACCCTGGGTTTAGCAGGTCTCAGGAAGTGAATTCCCTTGGGGTGCAGCATCCCTCACACAGAAACTTTTTGTGCCAACTGGGGTTGAACTCTGTCCACTATGACTATTTTGTAAGGATGCCCAAAATTTACTGCTACTTCTTTATGAGCAAAGGTCCTATTTAATAACTTACTTCCAAATAATTCATTAATGCCTCTAGTCCCCGTTTCTTTTCTTCCAAACACATGAAGAGAAACTTGATGGTTTGTGAGATATTCACTGTTGTTTTCATAGGGTGAAATCCTGGTTTCACTGAAGTCTGTGGAAAAACACCCATTAACTTCTATGGTGTCTGGATTTGACCTTTAGTTTCTTTATCCTGTATTTATTTCATTTTAGTATAAGAGTTGGTGTGAAAACTGGACTTTCAACCAAAGTGAAAATTTTTGTGAAACATTTTAATTTTGGTCAAAAAGTTATGGTTCGTTGAGTGGTTTCACACATGTTCCACTAGGTATGTGCATGCCCAACACACTGGGGTCAGAGAGTTTTCTGCAGTGATTTCAAAACATTGTCTATACAGCTATTTTTAGAGCACTAGTGCAAACTCTGCTACCCAAGTCTGAGGACCCGGGCTGTGAGGCTCGTTCCCACTCATTCCAAAATGCTGTGTAGACACACCTACCTGTGTCATCTTGGCAATGTATCTTTTTAGCTGCACCTCTGAACATTGAAATTAGTCTACTTTTGAAATATATTTATGTCTAGTCCATAGGATAGCAGTGAAAAATAGTGTTTTTTCTTTCAAGAATAGAAAATAATAAAGAATTGATTGTGTACATTGTTCTGATGTCTTTGATATCTGGTATCTGACAGATAGTAAGTATGTAAGTATAGTAGAGGATAGACAGTTCAATATTTTTTTGTATATACAGGCATACAATTCTAAAAAATATATTCTTTATGAGATCAGTGATTTTAGAACACTCCAAGTGCACTCAGTGGGTCTCTTTCCCAACGTGTCTAACCTGTTCTTAGAAACCTCCAACTACCCTTATAGTTAGAAAGCTTTTCCTAATGTCTAACCTAAATCTCCCTTGCTACAGATTAAGCTCATTACTTCTTATCCTACCTTCGGTGGACAGGGAGAACAGTTGATCACAGTCCTCTTTATAACAGCTCTTAACATATTTAAGACTATTTTCAGGCCCCCCTCAGTCTTCTTTTCTCAAGACTAAACACACCCAGTTTTTTTAACCTTTCCTCATGGGTCAGGTTTTCTAATCCTTTTAACATTTTTGTTGCTCTCTTCTGGACTTTCTCCAATTTGTCCACATCTTTCCTGAAGTGTGACCTCCAGAATGTTAATGTGAATATGAACATAAGAGTTTGCAAAATTTCAAGGGGAACTAGTGAGAGGATGTTACCTAAAGCAGACAGTGTTTCCCTTCATGTAGGGGACCTTTTAAGTAACTCGCTTGGGTTGATATAACAATTTGGCAGCATTTCATTTTCAGTAAACTGATGGAGACCTTTAAATTCTTTCTTGAGGTTTGTTAATCTCTTGCTTAATGCAAAGTTACAGTATGTCTGGTAATACTCTCAGAAACTGTCTCAACTATAATGTAATAAAAGGTTATTTCTACTTCATTTCTAACTCATGGGTTTCAGGAATTTAGAAGCTTACTGGTAAATCTAAATAAAACAACATGAGCATATATCCGTTCAATCTCAAGCCTATCATAACAGCTAATCTTTGACCAAGTTATGGTTTGCTTTTTTTTTTTTTGGTTAAAAAAATTACTTGACATCAAAGTCTATTCTATGAATTCATAGCTTTCAACTTCTCACCTATAGTGACTTAGTCAGGGCTACACATGGAAAGTAATGAAGCAGAAGAGGAAGAGTAAATGAAATTGCAGACCTTTTGAGATGACAGACAAGCAGTAATATCAAAAGACCTTCCTGCATAGTTTAATTTCAGCCAAATCAAAATCAAAGATTTATGGTTGTGATTTCAATGCATGGAACCAATTCAACAGCTTGAATGGGCTTTTGTACTTTGTTAAAGGCAAGATATCAATAATATTATTAGGTAGACATAATAAATAGTTTCAGGGTTTTTTACACATCCTGTCTGAGGCAAAGTTATTTTAGAATATCAGTGTAAAAATTGTGATAACCTTCGGGCCTTGGTTAAAATAGGTATTTTACTGTTTTTCATGGAGCTTCTATGTGGCGCCTACTGTTTTAGTTGTTTAAGTGACAGAATATTTCTTAAATGGCCCCACAGATGATTTTTATAAAACCTATGTTGTATAGGAATATTTACAAGTAAGAACACCAGTAAACACACACACACAAAATATACAGGTAGCCCTACATATTTTAGGTGTGGTGTTATATTCAGTGATGGACACAGGCACTTGTGCAGTATTGCAGTATACTGAGAGATCCACAAATAGTTGGTTTTTGGATACAGGTGGGTATTTTGTGAAGAATTGCAATATGGAGGTAAATACATCGGTGTTATATATTAAGTATTCAAAGGAGAGAGTGGCATTTTTTAGATAAAATACAGTGTAGTTTGAGCTTGAAGTTGTTACTGTTTTGTCTTTGTTTCTTACACATTACACATTGTTCATTGGTTGAACACCAATACCCTTCAAACCTGGTGTTTAATCATCTAATTAGACTACTGTTACACATTTCATTTTTCTTGTATTTTGTTCACCTGCATTATGATTGTAGAGTTTTCTCTTGTGAGTCATGGAATGGGAGTGCATTTCCTGGCTCATATTAATAATCTGAGATCCTAAATAATTTTTTTGTTGTTTTATAAATGTTAGGGGAGTGCTGCATAGGGCATAATAGGCTCGTTTTCTTGTTGTCTAAAGCTGAAGATTTTGTCCAAAACCTGAAAATTTTTGATTGAGAAACGCTGTCTAGTATCTAATGGGAGTTGTAGACTGCTCTGATGCACCACATCTCCCTTCTTGCTGAGGTGCACCATGGGAGATGTAGTTTGGCCAGGGATTCCAGTCCAGATAGGAGAATGGGGCATGAGGCAGCCTGGTATACTTTCCAAATCAAAATTTTTCAGTTTGGGGATTTTTTGTTGTTTATAGCGATGTGTTTTGGGTTTTTTGTTTTGTTTTGATAAAAAGTCAATTTTTCCGTGGAAAGCTGGAAAAAAATTGTCTAATTGAAAACTCAATTTTCAATCTAAAAATAGTTTCAATAGAAAATGTTCATCCAACTTTAATAATCTACTGTATCTGCCCACATCCTCTTCAGCAAAGGTTGAAACTGCTTGAATATATTTAATTTTTGATTATGGAAGTGTAGAAGAATTAGTTTCTATTGGAATTTTCCCAGTGTTTGAGAGTAGTAAGTTATGGAAAATATCTGTTCAGAAGTCGTCTTGTGTGGCACCCTGAAATTCTATTTTCTGTTTTTTGTGTATGTGTTGTCACTTATCTATCTTACCATTATTCAGAACTGCATAAGAATGGCAATTTTTCGTATAGATCTGCTCTTCAGAATCATTAGTTTGTTTTCAAACTGGATTACTGTTCTGGTGTGGAGGCAGCTATTATTGATTTTCTCATTCCATAATATTTGTATTACAATAATTCCAGAGTCCTCAGTCTGGATGATGGCCCTTATTATGTTTGGGGCCCCATTATATGCTTAACACAATGTCATGGTCCTATTCCTTGAATAACTTACATTTTAAAGAGATAGATGACATACCAAGAGTTTGGGAAAGGAATATAATCATATGTGATTCTTATATACCTATGCATTTTTCTTATTTTTCTAAATAGTTAAAGTAAATGCCAGTTATTCCCATCTGGCCATCAGTGTACCCATCATTATGTATTAATACTTTGCATTCATATATGTGGAATCTTATGTCCACTAAAATAGATATGGATTTAATGTATCCTGGATGTTAAAACAGGCCACAGGGAAGATTTGTTGTCAGCAACAAAAATGTTAATAGAAACCTCTACTGGATACAAAGCTCTTTACTGTAGCACAGGTTTTGGAATACTACATTGTATTTGGAAACCACACTTCCTGTTTAATCTTGTGTGATGGTTTGCTTGTCAGCCTGTACCTGCCTTTTGGCTATTTTATTTCTCCACAAAGTTCTTTATCTTCTATTCAAATTTCTATCTGTGGGCTAAATCTAAGTTTTCTAAGTTGTCTTTTCTTCTTTGAGTTTGTACAGTATATATGTACATTCATACTATATATGAGTTCATATAGAGTAACAGATATTAAATGCAAAAAAAGTTAACATTAAGACTAGTAAGCTCGCTTGTTTAGGAGTAGCTCTTTTTGGAATATGGTTCAATCTTTGAA